ATCAAGGGGGTGGCTCAGGCCTGTTTATGAGGGTCTTCTTCAGGGATGGGAGAATATGATGGAGAAGGAGTTGGTTAAAGGTGGTACAAGACACTAACTAAATTTATTATTCCATACAATAATACAAGAAATGGAAGGTGATACCAAAAAATCTTTTAAATGATCTTTATACTACTGGCTATTTTTTCATGTGTTAGTAAATATGTATCAATTTACAGCTAAGATTGTATTTTATAGAATTTATTTCCCTTATGAGTCTAGTAAGACTGTGAATATCTCTGCTGTTCTTATGATTTTCAACATTACATCAGATTTACTGAAATGATAAATTTGTATAACAATAGGATCATATTGAATTTGATTATTCTCATTTTCAAATGTGAAATAGCAGCCTCTATAATTCTTGAGATTTCATCTGTACAACTGTTCACAGTTTGTATCATAAAAAACGCACTTAAAATGATTAGTTCCCACAGGTTTCAATAAAATTTCCCTCTAAGTAATGGTATTAAAAGTTGACCCTACAGGAGTCTCCCTGGTGGTGCAGGGGTTAAGTCTCCCACTATCAAGTTATCACCAGCCACTGTGGCATGAGTTCCATCCCCTGTCTCGCATGCTGTTCCCTTCAGCAGTGAATTTCAGTAGATCTGCCTGTTCTGCTTCCCACTCTGTCTGTGGTAAATCCTCTCACCCCCTTCACCTCTAACCTACACATCAGTTATGTATGCATAAGTAAATAAAAATAAACCTTAAAAAAATGACCCTGCAGAGTGAACTAATCATATGAACTATTTAACTTGTGTGTGTGTGTGTGTGTGGTTTTTATCCTTCTAGCCACACAGATTTGAAAACTATCTTTGAATCTTCCTTCTCCTTTGTCTCATCACTATCTCAACTGAAAATATAAACTTTATTTTGACGATAACTTTAAAATATAATATTTGTCATATGTGCACATTTCTGGAATATTGCAGCTACTAAAAAAGTGGGTCACTTGAAACAACAGCTTGAAGGTAAGGCACATACTCGGTGTCTTAGATCTTGCACTTATTCCTCCAATGCTCATCATCTGGGTTTCCTCAAAGGGTATTGTATTTACCTTCAATTTCATAGGCTTTGTGGAAGTCAAATAGCAAAGATAAAAGAAATACATTTATAAAACAAAAAAAGATATTACTTCTAAAGTATAACATAAAGGGATTCTTTGGTAAAGATACGTAATATACTGGAAACAGGATAGCCTTTGACTCAAACATGTAAGTTGAATATTGAGTCCAAAATGAACAAGCACAATAACTTTATGGTATCTAAAATTGATATTATTGGTAGGAACGTTTCCTACCCCTCCTGAACATTTCCCTAAGTTGTTAATCTTTGCCCACTTGAATCTGCTCCTCTTCTAAGTATAGGTCATTACAGGAAATGAGTTTTGTAATCCTCCAATAACAAGTAGCACAACTGACCAAGTGTCTCAGCTGTTGTGTTCTGAAAGTCATCACAGTCAGACTTTTTACAGGTTGTTTCTCAGTGACTGTACATGGCAGCACTATTTATCGAAAGCACTGAAGTTCTCTGATTTTTGCTCTGAGCACTAAGAAGGATCTGACTGGACATTCTGTATATATTAATGCAGTCTCTCTCCTACACTCAGGTTCAGGTTTGTATGCTGTTTGTCAAATTTCTTAGCCTTCTGAGTACTCTTTCCAATTTATATTCTGTCTGGCTCCCTTAATATAATATTTGTACATTGAATCTTATTTTGGCATGTACTTCTCAAAGGGCTGACTACCATAAGAAGAAACATGGAACACCCTCTAAAAATTTATTGTAGGGCCTCCCCTGGTGGCACAGGTGTATGAGCGCTGCACTGTGAAGCTGTCCACAGCCTCTGCAGTGCCAATTAGATCCTGGCTGGCCGGCAAGGGGCCCACATGGTGCAGCAGACCTCTCCTGACTTACCCGCTGCTCCCCTCAGCAAAGTATTTCATCAGTCTACCTGTTCTGTTCCCTGCTCTGTCTCTGGTGAATCCTCTCAGTCTCCTGCACCTCTGGCCTGTACCCCGATTCTTGTATAAATAAATAAATAAATCTTTATAAAAATAATAAAAAAATAAAAATTTCTTGTGTTTACTCTCTATGGAAAAAATCTGTAGCAGCAAATCACATTAATTTTTATCTACATCATTAGACTCATCATAATCAATTAAATGATTCAATATGGTTCTTGATGCATAATCAGGATATATCAAACATACTATGTTTATATTTAGAATTATTAGATGTGATACAGTTTTTAACTTGCATAAAAGAAAGGACACAGATACATTAATAAACAGCCATATGCAGTACTGCTGCTAATGTATGGCAAATCAAGAAGTTAAGCCTTGTGCACCTGATTAAAAAAATCTGAAAGCTATGAAATTCTGCTTCCTAGAAATCACCAACAACTTGTGTCACATGGTGCAACTAAAATCTTATTTCCAGCTTTGTGCAATGCCCTCCAACCCCATTATGCCTCTCTTTATACTGTTTAAGATATTCACAATATTGCCACCTACTTCACAAAAAGCAAGGATTCAATATTCAATCAATAGGTAGAAAATGGGAGAGTTGGCTTTTTTAAACATAAATACACATTTCAAAATGTTTCTGACAAGAGCTATTCTTTTCAAAGATCTTTAAAATGACATCTCCTCACAACCTTGGTAAATAACTTCCAGGGTCCATGGGACCCATAGAAAGAAAGGTTGTAATTAATTTAACCAAAGTTCAAATAGAAATGTCTACTATTCTTTAGTTACTATATTTAAATATAGCTTCAATTTAAGTAAAGATTATATCTGCATATACAGTATGCTTTTCATTTTGACTCAGCTATATTTTGAATGATTTTATTTCTAACAGTAGCCACATTTTTACATGAAGTTAAATAGCTATTAGATAAAGACTCATTTATAGAAATAATTTTATACATTAATTAAATAGGTCAAATTAGAATAAGGGCAAAATATTGATATAATGTCAAAATATCCCAACTCACAAATAAATATTTAGAATTTTCTTTTAAATAGTTGAAAATATTTATTAACTTTAGTGATATCATAAAGAAGTATATAAGAAGTAAAACAAACAGCTGGGGCAGAACTTGTGTGCAGGAAACTGCATCTCTGAATCTCCATTTTAGAACAGGGAACTTCCTTCAATGAAGTCTGCTTGAAACCGGCAGAAAGCTCCCCATGGAGTCAGAGGTGATCTGGGAAGCAATCCCATGCCAGGCCCCTTCTGTCTAGCAGTCCCAGCCCCGAGGGGGAGTGGGCATCCAAGGCTGGGGCAGACTGTGCAAGCAGGAAAGTGTGTCTCTGACTCGCCATTTAGGACAGGAACCTTCCTTCAATAAAGACTTCTTGAAAATGGCAGAAGGCTCCCCACAGAGCCAGAGGTGAGCTCAATGCCCCCGCAAGCCTGGTTCCCCCTGGCAGGGAGTTGGAGCCCAGAGGGGGATCCAGCAATTTGGAGCCCAGAGTACAATCCAGCTGCCCCACCTCCAGGGAAGTCTGTGGGACTTCAAGACACACCGTTGGAATTAAACAAACACAGAAGGAGGAGATATTCTGTGACAGTGACCATTAATATACTCAAAGTATCACTGCCTCACTGGACTTCTGGCTTAAAAGTATTTGACTTGTTTGGACCACAAGTTTCAGAAATCCCAGAAAGAGCACACCAAAACGATGCCAACCAGTACCAGTGACACAGTGTCCAAATGCATAGGACAAATTAGAAAACAGGCAGCAGGGAGAAGAAAAACTACATGCAACCTAGCAACTCCTCAGGAAAAATACACAACACCAAAAGAAAACCACCCACCCGATTGCAATGACAGTGACTTGGAAGAAATTCTGAGCCTTCCAGAAAGAGAATTTAAAATTGCCATGATTAAAAAACTGAAGGAAGTCAAAAATGATATGGGAAAAATAATCAACGATCAGAAGAATAAAATTGAGTCCCTAAAGAGGGAGTAAAAAGAAATGCAGGAGATCAAATGGAGGAGCTAAAGAAATCTGGGAAAAGCAGTGAAAGCAGAATAGATGGAATGAAAGAACGAATAAGCACTCTTGAAGACACAGAAATAAAAAGAACCAAAACAGAAAAGGAAAGAGAAGCACGAAGGAAAAAGAACAAAGAAAGACTTCGGGAACTATCTGACTCCACGAGGAAAGGAAATATAAGAGTTATAGGAATCCCAGAAGGAGAAGATAGAGACCTAGGAACAGAGAAACTATTCAAAAAATAATTTAAGAGAACTTCCCAAATATGAAGGAGCTAAAAATAGACATACAAGGGCCTCCCCTGGGGTGCAGCTGTTGAATGCTGGGTTGCAAAGCTGCCCGCAGCTTCTGCAGCGCTCCTTCGATCCCCGACCACTGGGCAAGGGACACACATGTTGCGCAGACCTCTCCTGCTGCCTGCTGCTCCCCTTAGAAGTGTATTTCATTGGTCTGCCTGTTCTGTTCCCTACTCTGGCTCTGGTGAATTCTCTCACTCTCCTGTACTTCTGACTGTACACAGTGCTTGTATAAATAAATAAATAAATAAATAAAAATAAATCTTTTTTTTTAAAAAAAGAGGTATTTTAAAAAAATAAGAGGAAAGACAAACACAATGGCAAATACAGATGCTAACATCAATATTAACTCAAAATGTAAATGGATTAACTCTTCAATAAAAAGACACAGATCATTGTCTGGATTAAGAAACAAAACCCAACCTTTTGCTGTCAGCAGGAAACACATTTAACTACAAAAGATAAAAATAGACTCAAAGTTAAAGGATAGAAAACAATCCTACAAGCAAATGGACCAAAAAAGAAGGCAGGGACAGCTATATTGATAAAACAGATTTCAAACTCAAAAAGGTAAAAAGAGACCCCTACGGTCACTACATTATGATCAAGGGGACAATACTTCACGAAGAAATAACACTCATTAACATATACTCACCAAATGAAGGAGCACAAAACTATATCAGACAACTATTATCATCTCTGAAAACAGACATCAGAGAAAACACATCTGTAGTAGGAGACTTCAACACTCCACTATCAATGATGGATAGATCAACAAGACAAAAAATAAGTAAGGACACTAAAGCTCTAAATAAGAATCTAGAGCTCATGGGCATCACAAACATCCATAGAACACTAAACCCCAAAAAAATCTGAGTATGCATTTTTCTCAAGCACACATGGATCATTCTCCTGGATCCATCACATACTGGGACACAAGACAAACATCAACAGATACACCAAGATTGAAATCATACCAATCATATTCTCTGACCATGAAGGCATCAAACTAGAAATAAACCATAAAAAGAGGGCAAGGAACTATCCAACCTCATGGCGATTGAAACCCACACTACTGAAAGACCACTGGAATAATGAGGTGAACAAAGAAGAAATTAAAAAATACTTTGAGTTGAATAACAAGGAGAACAACAATTTCCTAAATATATGGGATGCAGCAAAAGCAGTAATAAGAGGGAAATGTATAGCAATAGAGGTTCACATCAAGAAACAGAAAAGATCTCAAAGAAATAATCTAATTTCAAAGTTCAAAAGACTAGGAAAAGAACAACAACAACAACAACAACAAAAAAAAAAAACCAATGGCAGAAGAAGAAAATAAATAATAAAAATCAAAGCAGAAATAAATGAAATCGAAACTAAAAAAAAATCCAAAAGATCAATGAAAGCAAAATCCTGGTCTTCAAAAAAATAAATAAAATAGACAAACCCCTTGCCAGGCTCACAAAGGAAAAACGGGAGAAAGCACAAATGAACAGGATCACAAATGAAAGAGGAGAAATCACAACAGACATTGCAGAAATCAAAAGAATAATAGGAAACTACTATGAACAGTTATATGCAAACAAGTTCAACAATCTAGAAAGATGGACAAATTCCTACAACTCTACAATCACCCAAAGCTATATAAACAAGAAATATAACACCTAAACAGACCAATTACATACAGCAAAATTGAAATTGTAATCAAAAATCTCCCCAAAAACGAAAGCACAGGACCTGATGGATTTACAAATGAATTCTACCAAACATTCAGAGAAGAATTAGTACCTATCCTTCACAAACTCTTTCAAAAAATTGAGAAGGAAGGGATAATACCAAACACGTTCTATGAAGCCAACATTGTACTAATAAAAAACCAAACAGGAAAACACAAAAAAGAAAACTACAGGCCAATCTCTCTAATAAATGCAGATACAAAAATCCTCAATAAAATTTGAACTATCAGAATCCAACAATGTATCCATAAGATAATTCACCATGACCAAGTAGGATTTATTCCAGGGACACAAGGATGGTTCAACATCCAGAAATCAATCAATGTTATCTAACACATCAACAAAAGGAAATATAAAAACCATATGATAATATCAATAGATTCTGAGAAAGCTTTCACAAAGTACAAAAGCCCATTCATGATAAAAGCCTTTGAAATTATTGGGATACAAGGAACATACCTCAACATCATAAAGGCCATATATGACAAGCCCATAGCCAGTATCATTCTCAATGTCAAAAAGCTGAAAGCATTTCCATTAAATCTGGAATAAGACAAGGATGTCCACTCGCATCACTGCTTTTCAATATAATACTGGAAGTCTTAGCCAGAGCAATAAGACAAGAGATATAAAAAAAAAAAAATCCAAATAGGAAAAGAAAAAGTTAAATTATCACTATTCGCAGATGATATGATAATATACATAGAGAACCCAAAAACTCTACAAAAAAACTAATTAAACTAATCAATCAGTTTAGTAAAGTGGCTGGATACAAAATCAACACACAAAAATCAGTAGCCTTCCTAAACACAAACAATAAATCTGAAGAAGAAGAAATAAAAAAAAAACTTTTATTATTGAAACAAACAGAAAAAAGAAAAAAAAAATACCTGTGAATAAATCTAACAAAAGAGGTAAAGGACCTATACAAAGAAAACTATAAAATAATGTTAAAAGAAATAAAAGAAGACACAAAGAAATGGAAAGATATCCCTTGCTCATGGATAGGAAGAATTAAAATCATGAAAATGTCCTTCCTACCGAAAGCAATATAAAGATTCAATACTATTCCAATAAAAATTTCAATGACATTCTTCAAAGAAATAGAAAAAATATTGATGAAATTCATATGGAATCACTAAAAGCCCCGAATAGCCGAAGCTCTCTTGAAAAAAAAAAAAAAAAGGAAGAAGAAGGGAATGTAGGCATTACACGCCAAGATTTCAAACTCTACTACAAAGCCATAATCATCAAAACTGCACGGTATTGGTACAAGACCAGACACACGGACCAATAGAACCGATTAGAAAATCCAGAAACAAACCCACAGATATATGGTCAACTATTATTTGACAAAGGAGCAAAGAATATGCACTGGCGCAAAGAAAGTTTGTTCAAAATGGTGCTGGAAAAACTGGGTTGCTACATGCAAATGTATGAAGCTTGACTACTTCCTCACACCATGCACAAGAAACAACTCAAAATGGATTAAAGAACCACACATAAGACCTGAAATGATAAAATACATAGAAGGAAAGTATAGGCAAAACACTACATGACATGCACCTCAAAGACATCTTTAGAGACACATCTCCCAAAGCAGTGACAGTGAAGGCAAAGATAAACAGATGGAACTACATCAAATTAAAGAGCTTCTGCACAGCAAAAGAGACAATAACCAAAACAAAGAGAAACCCCACTGACTGGGAGAAAATTTTTGCACACAACACTAATGATAAAGGACTGATCACAAAAATCTACAAAGAGCTGATGAGACTCAACAAAAACAAAGAACATAATCCAGTCAAAAAATGGGCAGATGGGTTAAAAAGAAACTTTTCCAAAGAGGAAATGCAAATGGCCAACAGGCATATGAAAAAATGTTCAACATCACTTGTAATCAGGGAAATGCAAATCAAAACTACAATGAGATACCTTTTTACAACAGTGAGAATGGTACATATTATAAAAACTAGCAACAACAAATGTTGGCGAGTTAGTTGAGAAAAGGAACTCTCCTGCATTGCTGGTGGGAGTGCTAACTGGTCCAACCACTATGGACAGTTGGGTAAAGATTTCTTGATCTACTAAAAATAGAGCTTCCATATGATCCAGCAATCCCACTCCTAGATATTTACCCAAAGGACACAGAAACATTAATTCCAAAGGGCACCTGCATCCCTATGTTTATAGCAGCACTATTTATAATAGCTAAGCTATGGAAACAACCCAAATTCCCAAAAATAGATGACTGGATCAAGAAGATGTGGTACATATACACAATGGAATATTACTCAGCAATCAAAAAAGATAAACACATGCAGTTTGCAGCAACATGGATGGCGCTGGAAGGGATCATGCTCAGCGAAATAAGCCAGAAAGAAAAAGAAAACTACCGGATGGTCTCACTCATAGCAGGAATTTAAAAACCTAAATAAGGGACCAGGAGAAAGACTAATTAATACAAAGTGAAAATCAAAATGAACAAGCAACTCTAAACCAGAGACACACTACTGTGGGTGGGGAAGGAAGGGAAGAGGATAGACTAGGGTCAAAATAAGGTGGGGGTGCAATTGTATGGGGTATATAAACAAAATGAAAATACATGCATTGTGCAAAAATGAAAAATGATTTAAGAATTATATCAAATAAAATATTAATTAAATAAAAAATAAAATACATAAAAAAGAAGCAAAGCAACTGCTTGGATTATATTTTCTAACACAGAATATTGTGAGCTAAAATATAGATAAATAAATCTGGGTCTCCCTGGCGGCTCAGGGATTAAAGTCTCATAGCTATCAAGCAATCACCATCCACTGTGTCATGAGTTTGATCCCCAGAGAGGGAGCTAAACCATGTGGCGCAGCAGACTTCTCATTTCTCACCTGTTGATCACCTTAGCAGTGCATTTCAGTCTGCCTTTTCTGCTCCCCAATCTTTCTCTGGTGAATCCTCTCATCCCCACACCTCTGGCCTACACCCCAGTTCTTTAATAAGTTAAATCTTAAAAAAAAAAATCTTGATGAATTAAAAAAAAAAGATGTCATTATAAATGAGTGCGTTTTAGACCTCTCAGTTCTTTTTGTTTATTTTTATGAAAATTTGTACTTGCTAAATTGCATCAACATAATGTGAGTGAATCAGGAAGAATAAGTGTATTCAAAGCTAATATGTTTATACCATTGATAATAAACTTACAGGGCTTCTTTCTCTGGTGGTGCAAGGGGTTAAGCACCAAACTATGAAGCAATTGGAAGCCTCTGCAGCAAATGTTCGATCCCTGGCCCACCAGGGAGCAACCCACATGGCGAAGCAGGCCTCTCCTGTCTCGCCTGCTGCTCCCTTCAGCAGTGTATTTCAGTCAATCTGCCTGTTCTGTTCCTGTTCCCCACTCTGTCTCTGGTGAGTCCTCTCACCCCCCGCATCTCTGTGCCCCAGCTCTTGTATGCATAAATAAATAAATCTTAAAAAAAAAAAAAACTAACAAACAGCTACAACAACAAAATAAAAAAGAGCTAATTCATGTGAAAATCGAATTCTATTTACCAAGCCAGAAATGTGTTATTAAAGATGTGGCTCATGGAATAAAAAGAATAATATAATTTTCTAGTTTAAAAACATAGTGTGGGGCCTCCCGGGTGGCGCAGTGGTTGAGCGCTGGGTTGCGAAGCTGCCCGCGGCCTCTGCGGCGCTGGTTCGATCCCCGGCTGCTCCCCGGCCACAGGAGGAGGGTCCCACATGGCGCGCAGACCTCTCCTGCCGCCCGCTGCTCCCCTCAGCAGTGTCCTTCTGTCCTTCTGCCTGCTCTGCTCCCCCCTCTAGCTCTGGTGAATTCTCTCACCCTCCCGCGCTTCTGACTGTACCCAGTGCATGTGTAAACAAAACAAACAAACAAATAAATAAATAAAAACATGCCTCTATTTAAAAAAAAATAAATAAATAAAAACATAGTGTGGGTCTAAACTGAAACTAAACTGAAACTTCATTTTTTTTATTTTTTAAAGATTTATTTATTTATGTATACAGGTACAGGCCAGAGTGTG